AAAGGACTCAGAAAGCGCAGCACGTCCAGTGGGTCGGTACTTGTTGCATGCAAAAGCTGTCATGTCTGGTCCTTTCTCCCCAGCTGTTGTGGGGTTTTTGCTTTTTGTGGAATTTTGCTTTCTCCTCTAGTGAGAGGACAGGGCCTGGGTCAAAAGAGGTGCCCTGGGGTGGAATTGGAAGCCAGTTAGGCAGGGCGTTCCAGTTTGTTCGGCCCGGTCGGGGCTGCCTCCAAGAAGGGGGCTGTGAGGCAGGTAGCTGTGATCGGCAGGCACCCAGTGCTTCTCCACGACTTTTTTTTCCTTCTTGAAGACAACTAGTAACATCTTATGATTTAGAGTAAGTTAATTGTAACCATAGGTATTTATTGATTGGAGGAAGGGGAGGGTCATATTATTTTCCACTTTATTTATGTAACATTTGCTAGCTTGTAAAAGGCGAATGTGAAATCTTGGCGTCTGCATTTTCGAAGGCTGATTCATGTAGCTACCCTTGCCGCTGTTGGGATGGATGTATGGATGTTCTCGAACATTCCGGAGGGACTGGTAGGAAGAAACACACTTAGCCAACCACTTATACGAATTGAATGTATCAGAAGTGTACTGAAGGGACTGGAGATGGTCTCCTCAGAGGAGGCAGCCCCGAAACGATGGCGCACATGTGCACTCTTCCCGCAAGGCCTTGGAGCGTTCCCTCGGCCCCCCAACCCATGTTGTCTCCATAGGACGCTTGACCCAGTGGCAAGTTGCACTTTGGTGATCTTGGTGGTCTGCACACCCATTCTGTGGAGAGTTGATTTACATAAGCTGTGTGTACTCTCACACACACACACACACACACACACACACACCCCTACCCCACACTGGCCCTTTACCGACATAGACCTTATTTCCTGGCAGATGGCCTCCTGAACCCTGACTTTTTGTGTACATAGTTGTAAACACGGATTTTTCTGGGTTTTGGTTTGCTTTTTTTCTTTTCCCCCCTTTCCCTGTTCAGCTTGTTCTTTTTTGGTTTGCTTGTAGTCCTCTAGATGTGTGCAGGTCTCTCCCCGAGAGTCCGCCTCTGTGCTCAGTGGTAACAGGAAGGAGTGAAGGGACCGTTTTTGGTCCCCCAGCTCTGTTATAGCCATCCCTCGGCATTGCTTTTCTTGGCTTCTTGTCAAAAAACAAAATAAAGCAAAAGAGCTGGTTTGACTGTGGACTCTCCCCACCCATGGGGCCTATGAAGGACCACTATGGGACCAAGCACTCAGAAACAGGACATACTTCTGTGGCTGCTTCTGGCTGGTGTCACCAATGCCTCGCTTGGCTGGATTATGCCATGTCTTGACCTTTTGGTAAAAGCGCCAGCTGGTTCCCATTCCTCTGAAACCTGGGGTGGGTGGGGATCCTGCCTTAACTGGGGGAGGAGATAAAGCCTGCATCCAGGACCCTTCTAGGGTTCCTTGGCTATGCCCTCCAACCAGGGGGTGGGTGTGGAGGCCAGCGTCCCAGTGAGCACCTAGAACTGGGTCTAGGTTAGTAACGCCTCCCACATCAATGTAAATGGCAGAAACGGTGCACATCTGAGAGTGTTCTGTGGGAAGGGGGTGCGGACCAGTCCTTTCCAGTGCATGGGCCATTCCCAACTGATGGAGATGGAAGAACCAGCCACGTATGTGGTCTTCTAACCTCATCGATTGCCATTGCACACCAAGGGAGGCCCAGGTAGCTAATGACTTGTCCAAGATTGCGCATGTGAAAAGTGTTGGTCTGGACCAGAACCCAGATGACTGTCATCTTGAAGCGTCATGTTCTCTTTCTGTGCCACCCAAGGAGGTGTCTGGGTGTGGGCAGCACAGCTCTGTACTGTACAATTCACTAAGGCATCCTGCAAGCCCAACAGCCTTTTGGTTCATGCCTTTGACATGTGTTGTCATGCCTTCTGCTACTGTGACAGTCAATGACGCATTTTGAGTTGCCTTTTTTTTTCTCTTTTTTTGCTGTGGGTAACTGCGTGCAGCGTCTTATCTTGCTTTCTCTCTTCACTGTCCATGGTTTGGTTTTGCGTTACAAACAGAAAAGCTGTTTAAGGCTCCCACCCTGCCACATTCCTATTCCACTTTCCCCTTCACTGTGGCCCCTTTCCACCCCACCACAAAAGTTACCACAGAAGGTTTCCTTTGTATAGAATATTTATTTTGAAGCTCTATTTTAATAGTATTTATTTTAGAAAGTCTACTATTGTAAGAGTTCTTCTGTTTGTGAAGAAAAAACAAGTTAAAAGCTGAATGTACTGATCTAGAAAATATATATAAATATATATTGTTAAATATGCACAGGACTGCCGTTTCTGGTGTGTTTGTTCACGTCCCTGACGTTTTCACCCAGCAGAGCACCCGGCCACTGCACCGAATGGGAGAAGGGCTTCCTGGGTTAGGGCAGTCCCTCATTCTGCCTCTAGGATAGCATTAGAGCCGTCAGAGGAGCTTCACTTGCTCAGGCAAGCTGAGCACTGCCAGATGCTGCTACATCCTGCCTGGGCAAGTTTCCCTACCTGGTGTTTGTGACATGGATGACAAAGCTCCAAAACTGAGAAGAAGTAGAGGTGGAAAATGGGACTCTGATCTGTCCGTTTTTCAAGAACGGTGCCTTTTTTCTCCTTTTATGCTCTGGTTGCCCCTAGAGCAAGTTTTTGTGCACATATGCACACACACGTGCGCGTGCACACACTCTTGAAGAAACTAAACAGAAACACTCGTCGATTGCCTTGTTTTCACTGGATTGATGCATATTGCACAAAACCAGTCGACCTCTGAAGCCTCCATCCATTCAATGGCCTTGAGTCCCTTGTCCCCATAGCCCCACCAGTGTGCTCAAACTTGGTAGAGACCCAGTCACTTCTCAGTTTACATAGCTGGGAAACTTTTTAATTACCTTTAATTCATCCACTAGTTACAATGAAAGTTGGGTTTCATTTTGAGCGTGTGAACACATGCCTCTTGTTTTCTGGAAAAGAATCTAATAACTAAAGTTTTTTCCTATTACCAATAAGTAGGGGGGAGGTGATCAGCAATGGCAGGGGGGAAGAAAAGGAGTGGTGGAGAAAGATCAAGAACTGTGGGTCCAGTTCTTGGTTTTCTGGGGATCAATTATGGCCTTTAGGTCCTGTGTGAAATCCAAACTTGAGTTCCTCTTGGAGACATCCAAACGCCTGCCAGGATCATCAGTCACTGCCCAACAAGGCACAAAGGATGTTATTCAGCGTGGCCTTGTCTGCTCTAAAACTATTATAGTAGGTATGCCTCCCTTGTCACCAGAACATGCGGCCTGTCCCATTCTCTAGGATGGACCAAGGACTTTCACCAATAAGGTACGTAACGGCCACTTGGGGATCATAGTCTTTTTTTTTTTTTTTTTTTTGAGTTGGGGTCTCACTCTGTTGCCCAGACTGGAGTGCACTCCCGGCCACCACAGCCTCGACCTGCTGGGCTCCGGCGATCCTTCCGCCTCAGCCTTCCAAGTAACTGGAATTACAGGCATGTGCTACCATGCCCGGCTGATTTTTTAATTTATTGTAGAGATGGGGTCTCGCTGCCTAGGCGGGTCTCGAACCCGCGGGCTCAGGCAATCCACTCACCTCAGCCTTCCAAAGGCGCGGGATTACAGGCTAAGCCACCGAGCCCGGCTGGGATCATAGTCTTTTTAATCGGCT